ATATATATGCAGTCTATGTGGGGGTGGGGAAGCCACCACGACAGGTAGTAGAAGACGTGAAAAGAAAAATAAATAAATAGCCATGACGGTAAAGATCAAATTTTGAGATATTCATACCTGTGTAACCCATGGGTAACATCCATTTTGTCATTTGGAACAATAATTAGTGATTTCACAATGATTGTGGATTAGAAATGTTTGATCAATGTATGTGTCGTCAACGGAAATTGAAGTAATATAAATGGAAAAATTAAATTTCTAAACATTCATACCTGTGTGAGCCATCGACTGTAGGTAACGGCCATTTCTCATTTAGACCAATAATTCGTTGTTTCAGAGTCTCACCGATGCTAATGCATAGATTGATACGTGCGTGCATATGTAATTAGAAGTAAAAGAAAAGGAAAAAAGCATAAGAAATAAATGAGAGGCACAAAACCAGACACCAGACACCAGACATTAGGGAGAGGACCGGGACAAAAATGCCCTACAACGCCTCCCACCAAAACCCAAAAAGAAAATTTTATTAAGGCAGTCTGGCTGGCTTGCAAGCGCACCCACAAGGCAACAGCCACAAGAACAGGAGTCAAATACCATTGATACCCTTTACATCAGCCCATTTCACCACCACAACAGGTGGAGGAGCCACAGCAAGATAAAAGTAAACAAACATCGCAGCAAAGATTAAACTTTGAGATAATCATACCTGTGTTAACCTGGGTCAAATCCATTTGTCATATGGACCAATAATTAGTACTTTTTTAATGACAAGTTTCATACATGTAAACAAAGATAATATGAACTCAACTGGATATAATATGCAACTGAAATACACATTGCAGCTGATAATAGATACCTTGTGCTTTTTCTTCTTTTTTTCTTTTTTTTTTTAAGATTCACAACTCAAACACAAGGCTAACCGTTAATTAATGCCAAAGAGTTTATTGGAAGGAAAACACAATTCCTCTTGGCGTATAAGAGCTTGTGTATCAAATGAAATGAAATCATGTTTGCAGGGACCCAAACTTTGATAGATATAAAAAATATTAGGTAATGACATTCGTAACTGTGTAATCCATCAACAATTGCTCACATCCATTTGTCATTTGGACTGATAGTTCATGGTTTCAGAGTGGTCGACGATTGCCAATCATTGATCATATGTGTATGTGAGACGGAGGGGGGACTACCATGACAGGTAGCAGTAGACACAGAAAGTTAAAGGAAAAACGGGAATAATATAGTGGCAAAGATTACATTTCAAGATATCCATATCCGTGTAAGCCACAGGACAGATCCGTTTGTCATTTGAACCAATCATTTGCGGTTTCAGAGTGGTCCGTGATTGCCAATGCACTGATCAAAATATGCATAACCAATGCAATTCAAGGTAACAGAAACGGAAAGCTTAAATTTCTAAATATTCATACCTTTGCGAGCCATCCAATGCAGGTAAAGTCCATTTGTCATTTGGATAATTAATTCGCTGTTTCAGAGTGCTCGCTGATGCCAATGCATTGATTGTGATGTATTCGCAGTGTATGTATTTCAAAGTAAAAGAAAAGGGAAAAAAAAGGCAAAAGAAACAACACAGCAAGACACAAAAACACGCACAGACACACAGAGGGGAGGCTCAGGAAAAAAAAAGCCCTAAAAAGCCTCCCCTCAAAACCCCCAAAAACATAAAATTTTATTGAGGTAGACTGGCTGGCTTGCAAGCGCACCCACAAGGCAACAGCCATGAGGACAAAAGTCAATTACCATTGATACCCATTACATCAAGCCCATTTCACTACCCAACCCCAGTAACCCTAATCTCTCGTATCAGCTATCAAACAATGATACAAAAAACAGCATAGGAGACATTGGATAGTTATAAACAATGCTTTGTAAGGACGCACAACACATCTCTTACTGACTTGCCTAAGAAAGGCTAATTGGAGGCATAAAAGACCCTATTGTGTTCTTTGTGATGAGCAAAGAAGATGGATTGAAACCTTGCTTATTCTGATGAACACACAAATACGAGCAATACGAGCAGATTAACAATTCTCATCCTGCATTATGTGGACAAAATCCAGCTCTTAGAAAAAACATGGATCTCTTTCAGCATATACTTCCACAGTATCTATCGAGTGTATCAAAAGCCAAGCAAAAACCATAAAAACCAAAAAAACAAACAAAAAGAAAAAGATGAGCAACAATAAATATACAAACATATAGCAACAAACTAACCAATGTAATCAAAATCAACATTACAAATCTCAATAATATACTAACGCAATGAAGTCAAAGGTTCAAAAAATAAAAAGTAAACGAAATGCAATGTTCTTAGCAAAAGCTAAAATAAAAAACAAAGAGGAAGTTTGAAGTATGGACAAGTTTGACGGTAAAGGATAGCATACACCATGAGTAAAAAATAACTGCTAACAAGAGGGACCTTTTGCAAGGTAGGTCATAAAGAAAAAGAATAGTCTAAAAGAAGAGCAATTTTAGACTACTGACGAAAAATTAAAATACGGAGAAGTAACATGAGAAGAATTGCAAATGGAAAAAAAAATGGCATCTATAGCAAAAATATGACACAATGCCTCTATACATAAGTAACCAACAAAATATCAAAACACCATTTGTGATTATGTCACTTTTGCAGAATGAGAACAAACTACTGAAACATGAACCTTTGTAAGTTTTAAAAGTGAAAAAAAGGCAATATTACCACAAAAAATTTGAACATGAATACCAAAGAAAAGGTGTACCATACTGAGCATTTCAAAGGTTTCAGCAAACTAAAGCTCATCACATAAAAAACCACCATGCTATCATCTAAATCTGGAAGAAAGAACATTTAAAAAATATAAACATAACACTTGGAACACTAAGTTCGAATAAACACTTCATGGCAGACATTTCCTTTAACATCTGCTCGAAGAACATCCAAATTCATAACCATTCAGGGAAAAATTAACCACTGAGATCTTCCATAAGTATCAGCAATTTTTTGGCTAAGAAAAATATGAAAATTTTAATGTTTTGTTATTTTCTGTGAGGCATAAAAGCTCATCACTAACCCTAGTGAAATAACTTCTTCTTAAGGTATCAAACACAAGGCTAACCGCTAATTAATGCCAAAGAGATTATTGGAAGGAAAACACAAGTCCTCTTGGCGTATAAGAGCTTGTGTATCAAATGAAATGAAATCATGTTTGCAAGGACCCAAAAATTTGATAAACATAAAAATAAAATAAAATAAGGTAATAACATCCGTACCTGTGTAAGACATCAACAACTGTTCACGTCCATTTGTCATTTGGACCGATAATTCATGGTTTCAGAGTGGTCAACAATTGCCAATCATTGATCATGTATGTGCTGGCCATGTGATATGGAGCGGGAACTACCATGACAGGTAGTAGTAGACACAGAAAGTTAAAAGAAAAAAGGGGAACAATATAGTGGCAAAGATTACATTTCAAGATATCCACACCTGTGTAAGTCACAGGTCAGATCAGTTTTGTCATTTAAACCAATAATTTGTGGTTTCAGAGTGATTGCCAATGCACTGATCGATATATGCACGACCAATTGCAAGTCGAGGTAATAGAAAGGGAAAGACTAAATTTCTAAATATTCGTACCTTTGTGAGCCATGAACTGCAGGAAACGTCCATTTTTCATTTGGAACAATAATTAAATGTTTCAGTGCTCGCCGATGCCAACACATTGATCGATTTATCCACAGCATATGTAATTCAACGTAAAAGAAAAGGAAAGAACGGCAAAAGAAACAAAAGAGCAAGGCACAAAAACACACACAGACACACAGAGGGGAGGCCCGGGAAAAAATACCGTCAAAAGCCTCCCCTCAAACCCCCCAAAAAATAAAATTTTTATTGAGGTAGACTGGCTGGCTTGCAAGCGCACCCGCAAGGCAACAGCCACAAGGACAGAGTCAATAACCATTGATACCCTTTACATCAAAGCCCATTTCACTACCCATGCCCAGTAACTCTAATCTCGTATCCGCTATCAAACACTGATACAAAAACAGCATTGGAGACATTGGATAGTTATAAACAATGGACACACAACACATATCTTAATGACTTGCATAACAAAGGCTAATTGGAGTCATAAAAGACCTACTGTGTTCTTTGTGATGAGCAAACAAGATTGATTGAAGCATTGCTTATTCTGACGAACACACAAACACGGGCAGATTAAGAATCCCCATCCTTCATAATATGGACAAAATCCAGCTCTTGGAATAAACATGAATCTCTTCAAGCATATACTTCCACAGCATCTATCGAGCATATCAAAAGCTAAGCAAAGACCCTAAAAAAAAAAGATGAGCAACAATAAATATACAAACATACAACAACAAGCCAACCAATAAAATAAAAATCAACATTACAAAACTCAATAACAGAATTATGAAACGAAGGCAAAGGTGAAAAATTCGTAAAACGAAATGCTATGTTCTTAGCAAAAGCTATCGTAAATGACTAAGGAGATGTTTGAGGGATGAACAAGTCTGAAGGTAAAGGATGGCACACAACATGAGTAAAAGTAATAACCGCTAACAATGTGGTCCTTTTGCACAGTAAGTCAAAAGGAAAAACAATAGTATAAACGAAGAGCAATTTTAGACTACTGATGGAATATTAAAATAAGGAGAAGGAACATAAGAAGCATTTGAAGTTAAAAAAATATGGCATCTCTAGCAAAAAATATGACATAATGCCTCTATATATAAGTAAGAAATAAAATACTACAACACCATTTATGACTGCCACTTTTGGTGAATGAGGACCAAACTACTGAAACATGAACCTTTCTCAATTTTACAAGATCAAAAAGGTAATCATTAGCACAAAAAATAGAACATGAATACCAAAGAAAAGGTTACTATATTGAGCATTTCAAAGGTTTCAGCAAACTAAAGCTCACCACATAAAACATCACCCTGTTATCATCTAAAAATCTTGACGAAAGAACATTTAAAAAAAAAAAACATAACACTTGGAATTCTTAGTTCAAATGAACATTTCAGGGCAGACATTTCATTTAACATCTGCTCAAAGGACATCCATATTCATAACCATTAAGGGAAAAATTAACCACTACAATCTCCCACAATTATCAACAATTTTTCGGCTAGGAAAAATATGAAAATTTTAATGTTCTGAACATTTTGCGTGAGGCATAAAAGCTCATCACTAACCATAGTGAAATAACAACTTCTTAAGGTATCAATGCTATTCATTACCAACATAATTCACCAAAACAAGAAACCATAGATTATTAATAAAATAATTACATTCCTAATATATTCTACATATAATTTACTAAAATATGGCATGGCTTGCAATTATCATCCATCGTTCAATCTAAACATAACAAGAGAAAGAATTAAAGATGCCTCACAAAATGCAAACCAGGAATAGGAAAATGGATTCCCGGATATGACATATCAAATATGGAGGCACCCATTCCAATCATGATTACATTCAAAATATTTTCTACATACCATAGTCATCATCATTTTAGCCTTTTCCCAATTAATTGGGTCGTGAATCTTGGTTCTCCATTCCACTTAAATAAAGGCCATATCCTCAGTGAGGCCACAAGTCCCTGTATCTTTTTTTGCTACTTCCAACCACCTTCTTTTGGGCCTACCCCTTGCCCTTTTCAATCCTTCCACTTGAACTAACTCGAACCTCCTAACAGGTATTGTACTTGATCTACGCCACACATGCCCAGTCCACCTAAGTCTACTCTCTCTCTCATTTTATCGCCTATTGGTGCCACGTCTAAATTCTCTCGGGTAGATTCATTTCGAATTCTATCCCTTCTTGTCTTGCCACTAATCCATCTCAACATCCTCATCTCCGCTACACTCATTCTATGGGTATATTGTTTTTTGTCTGCCCAAAATTCCAACCCATAGAGCAAAGTTGGTCTCACAGCTGTCCTCCACACAATATATTCTACATATAATTTACTAAAATTTTGCATGGCTTGCAATTATCATCCAACGGTCAATCTCAGGAAAACAGAATTAAAGATGCCTCACAAAATGCAAACCATGAATAGGAAAAGGGGTTCCCAGATATGACATATAAAATATGGGGGCACCCATTCCAAAGGGAGGTAAAATTCAAAAAACAAGCAAGTAGCAATGTCCCACAAAAAGTCACTCGCAAAATTACTCTATCAAAATAGAGGCTACAATTTCAAGATACACATCAATTGCAACAAGAGATCAGCTAATTCAAATTTAAAGACTGCAAAACAGACAAAAAAAGGCTTATAAATATTTCAAAACAAGACCATCAATACATCACCCAATGCATATCCAAAAGACAGATCTTAATATGATCAAAAGCTCTTCAAACACATAAAAACAGTCATAAGGAATAAAAAATAAACAAACAATGCCAGCATCTCCAAGACACCATACACAGCGGGCAAAGTCAAAACACATGACTACATGAAGAATGATTTTATAAACGAGTTTGATACCAGAAAAAGACCCTTTAACCAGTTGTAAATAATCTAGAATAAACATGCCAAGCCCCAAGAAAATGATAGCAAAACATACAAAGTCCCAAGAAAAGTACAGCTTAGTATCATATCAAGTAACTACTCCATGTTATGAAAGCTGAAATGGCATAAGGTGCTTCCATTTCAAAGAACAATTCATATGTAAACAAATAAGGTTTTCAGTAAAGTTTCCACAAATAAAACCCTCACCTAACAGAATGAAATAAGAAAATCCTCTTCTCTAAATATCCCTCCCTACTTATACTGTTTAAAACGCAACTTCTTATCAAGATTCTTCATATTTGACACCGCAATAGATTATTATGTATTAAATAACTCCAATAAAGCATCTCATAACAGAGATAAATATTCTCCATATACTCTTTAACACCAAACATTTGTATAGAAGGCCTAGTCAATATTTATCCATCAAAAGAAGCTTGTGAAAAGAACACGTAATGCTTCTGTAATAATCATGCATCAAAAACTCCCTTTAAAATGCCTCTTCTCTCTTCCCCAACTCTTCCTCTCTAAATCCCTCCTCTGTTCCTTCAAACTAAACTCTTATCAGCCTACTTTTCATTCCTTACCCATCCTCCCACTCCCCCCCCCAATTCTGTAATAATCATGCATCAAAAACTCCCTTTAAAATGCCTCTTCTCTCTTCCCCAAGTCTCCCTCTCTAAATCCCTCCTCTGTTTCTTCACACTAAACTCTTATCAGCCTACTTTCTATTCCTTACGCATCCTCCCAATCGCCCCCCCCCCCCCCCAAATTCTCCCCTCTTGGTCCCAAGGACTTCGTGGAATCCTCCTGGGAACTGAAGACCAATCCAACTCTGGTGTCAACACCAATCATAACACTCATTCAAGATTGAAGCACCTTCTCTCCTTCTCAGGAGTCCGCTTACTGCTCCTCTCTCTAATGCTCTAGTCTTTCCTCCACCCTAATTCTGAAATTTCTGTTTCCCCCCTCCAAATGTTATATTGCAGCCACAATACCCAGATTGTGGGATTCTGTCTTTAAATTTTGATGTAATCCCATTTACAGTTCTACTCTCCAATGCTCTCGTCTCTCCCTCTACCCCTTTTCTGTATTCTGTATTCTTATCTTTTTTTCTTTCCCCCCTCCTAATGTTCCAATTTGTGGGTTGCTGTCTCTTAAATTTTAATGTAATCCTCGTTACTACTAATACAAAGTTAACATTTTCCTTAAAAATGTTAACTTTGTATTTTACTGCTCCTCTCTCTAATGCTCTAGTCTTTCCTCCACCCTAATTCTGAAATTTCTGTTTTCCCCCTCCAAATGTTATATTGCAGCCGCAGTACCCAGATTGTGGGATTCTGTCTTTAAATTTTGATGTAATCCCATTTACAGTTCTACCCTCCAATGCTCTCGTCTCTCCCTCTACCACTTTTCTGTATTCTGTATTCTTGTCTTTTTTTTCTTTCCCCCAATTTGTGTCTCTTAAAGTTTAATGTAATACTCTTTACTACTAATACAAAGTTAACATTTTCCTTAAAAAAAGACATAATGAACAGCAAAAACCGACACCCATTGGAAAGCCCGAAGCAAACGAAACCTAAAAATAGTACAGCAAACCAGAAATAGTTTACATTCTTTCTCCATATTCAGCATTAGAAAAATCATGATCAACACCAAAATGGAATCAGATCTATGATGGAAAAAAAAGAAAAATAAAGAAACAGCATCAATCAAGAAAACCACCGGCCCTATTCAAGAAAGGTTGTAAATGACATAAAGAGACCTTCATGAGAAACTATACATCAAAAGACTAGTACCTTAGCCCAGTAACCTTCAAAATATCACAGTTAACCACTATAGTTTGCTTACTATTCCCGTTTCAAAACAACAAAGTATCAAATACAGTAACCCTAGCACATAAAAGTTCAAAATAGCACAGCAAACGTAAAATACTTTCCTTTATTTCTCCATATTCCACATTAGAAAAATCATAACCAACACCAAAATCCACCAAACACCGACAAAATCCACCAATAATTGCAGAAAAAAAGAGAGAAATAAACAACACCAATCAGAAATCAAACACCGACAAAATCCACCACAACCAGGGTTTAAAAAAACGCCGAGTCGAGCCGGACTCGCCCGGTTCAACTCAGGAATCGCCATAGAACGAGCCGGTTCCACACATAAAAGGGGAACCGCCCATGTCTAGTGAGAACCGGGCGGTTAAATAGTAAACCGCCTGATGACATCATCAACCGGCGGTTCTGAAGTCACCACTCCGATTATACACAAACACGTGCAGACGTCACCACTCCAACAAGGACACGCAAACACGTGCGACAAAATCACATGCCACATATCACGTGTGGTTGCCCCAATGGTTCCGCGCGTATGCCTTATTTTATATTACATAGGTATTTATATAGCAAAGTTGAATACCCATCCTTCGATGTGGGATAATTCCCAAACATCATTAAATGAAAACGGAATGTAAATATATTCTATTAACCAGCAACTTATAATCACATGCGGCGAAGCGGCATGATGGTTACGACCTCTGCTATTTCCTTTGATGTTCCAAGACCAAATCCCCTGGGGATTTACATTTTTGTTGTATAGTAGTTTTTGTTGTATACAGTGGTATAAATATTTTTGTAAACAATATAAAAGGCATAAAAAAATGAAAAATAAAAAAGTTAATTTTTTGTATAGCAGTTAATTTTTGTTATAAATAGTGATATAATTATTTTTATAAATAATATGAAAGGCATAAAAAAATAAAAAATAAAATCATGTAATGTACGCATTTTATTAATTATTACATTGATAACCAAATATTTTATTTATTACTATTTGTCTAATAATACATTTTAATTTATTACTATTTCAGTATATAATATTATAATTAGTTAGGTTGTAATAATTTTTTATTATAGTTAGTTAGGCTGTAATAATTTGGGTTTTTTTAGCGGATTAGGGTTTTTCGCCTAAACGAGATTTTAATGGCCATTTTTTCATTGATTTTAGTCTACTCTTTATAATAGTCCACGTATAATTATATATTTTATCCATGATAATTCTATGATTTTTTTTATGTAATGCAAATTTAATAGTTAACATAAGTTTATCAGGGAAAAAGCATCTCAATATTCACAAACTGATGAAAAAATTGAAAGTTAATAATGTAGTACCCTCATTTCTTATTGGATTCCTAAAAGATAATATTTATAACGAATTTTAATACTTTTTTTGGAATTTCTTTAAAGCTTAATCCGACCGATTAAGCCGATTCCCGATCCGAATCGCCGATTCGCCGATCCGGATGGGTTTTTTAGATGCCCGATCGGGGTCACCGATCCACTTTTTAAACCACTAACCAAAACATAACATCGCACAGATAAATCAGAGATAGATCATCAGGTAAACTAACAGAAAGATGGAACAGATGAGAGACAATAGGGTTTTTTACCAGGTTGGATCCAGCAAGGTGGTCTGTAATTCCGCTGCAACGCTCTCATCAAGCTCCAACGCCTCTCCATCTGAGCTTTTCAAGATCACCATCTTCTCGTCTCAAGAGATATTCGGTTCTCTGGAACTAGAGAGAGAGAAACCCTAATTCTCTCTCTCCTCTTTCCCCGCCTACAACAAACCCGACGCGGAGAAGTACTTCGTACTACGCGGAGCCCTATTTATAGTATGGAGAATTTTGCACGTGTCGTGGTCCGCACGTAAGGTCTTGATATGCCCATTCTAAGCGGTCATATTTGAATGAAGGCTAATATGACTTTCGGTCACATTGTTACAAGCAGTTCTTGAACGTTCCATCTTGATCCAATTGAGAATTTATTTTTATTATTTATTTGATAAATTAATTAACCGGTCCAATAATTCGAGATTTTTGTTTTTACTTTTTATTTGATAAATTATTTTCAGTTAATCTTAAGGCATACGCTTAATAAAACATAATAAAAATAAAAAAATTATCATAAATATACTTTAATTTATGCTTAATTGAAAAAAAACCTCAAACTTTTGTTTATCTAGTGTGCACTTTTTTTTTCTCATTTTCAAGTTTTTTTTTTTATCAAAATGATCTTCACGGTAGTCATATTTAGTGCTTGTACTTTAAGTACTATAATATTTGGGGAATTTTATACGGTACTTTTACTGTAATACTTACACTAACTCTTATACGGCATTTTAAGTACCGTAAACACTAACCCATGTTATACGGCACTTAAAATACCGTAAACCTTTTTTTGTTTATCTCTTTCATCTCTAATTCTTTTTATGTTTATTTATTCTTTCTTTTTCTAATTCTTTTTAATATTTATCTATTCTTTATCTCTCTCATTCTTTTTTATATCATATTTCTCTCTCCAAAATCTCATCATCGTTTCCTTAAAGAGAGTACTCAAACACTCGGAGATGACATAATCTAAGGAACGATGATGAGATTGTAGAGAGAGAAATGAGAGATAAAAAGGAATTAAAGAAATAAATAAGGGATAAATATTAAAAATAATTAAAGAGCGAAAAAAAAGATAAACATAAAAATAATTAGAGATGAAAGAGATAAATATAAACAGAATAAGAAAATGATTTACAGCATTTTAAGTGTCGTATGAGATGAGTTAGTTTCTTAAAATGCGATATAATGGGTTTTAGTTTTTACTATACTTAAAGTACTATAATTGCCTTCACAGTCATGGCCAGAGTTTTACGGTACTTAAAGTCTGTAATAGTACTTTAAGTTAAAACGGTATTTTAAATAACCTATAAAATGATATGTATTACAATACTAAGACTACCATGAAAGTTAATTTGGTCCCAAAATAGCCAAAAATGAAAAAAAATGGTGTAGACGAGGTAAACAAAAGTTTAAAAAAATTTTCCAATTAAACTTAAATTAAGGTATAAGGAAAAATAAGTATAATATCCCTATCCCAAGTATAACACCCCTACTCCTATTAGGCAAATTTTTTTATTATAAATATCGACATATATAGTCTCTAGGAGCAATATTGTGCGTCTCCTCCCTCATCAAAACACCTACTTAGGGAATTTTTTTGGTCTAAATTTTGAGAACCACATAATAAATGATTATTTTTAAAAGAAAAACTTTGAATTTAAAATATTGTCACTTAAATCTAAATCTTGAGGCATAATTTTTTTTTCTAGTACACAGAAGTTTATTTCATAAACTTCAATTTTATTTATTTATTTTTTATTTTTTTACTGAGATCATTCTATGAGTTGTAAAGGTTACATACCAAATTTGAGATCCAAAAAATATCCCTTGTATTTTGCTCTAAAGAGGAAATAGATAGTATCTTCCCCGATAGTAGGGAATCTTTTGGCTATAAATATTTATTTAATTTTGCTATGTGAAGATAAAGAAAACCCAAATCTTGCTCGTGAATGTTTCACACCAAATGGAACTGGAGTTACGTGAAGATTTTCACAATTGAATCTCTCTTGAGTTTTTCTAGAAGGAGCACATAATAAATGGAGCAATATTGTGCACTCTTTCGTGGGAAGAAGACTAAGTTATGTAGGATTTTTTAATTTTAGATTATAGGGACCACCTAAAAATTATTGTATGATTATATTAAAAAAAAAATAAATTTGAGCTCACCATCACTTTGATTTGACCTTTATAGAACTCAATTTAGTATAGTTTTTTATTTTTTTATTGAGTATAGCTATTGGTTGAAGAAGTTGCACTCCCAAATCTTGAGGTCCTAGTATACTCTTAGATTGGGTTTTGCCCAAGGGAGCAAATAGGCAATACAAGTCCACTATGGAGCATAAAATCATGTAGCATAACACATATACGAGGGGTAGAAATCTCTTTCTATTTTTTATTTTTAAATTATTATTATATAAGTTTTGTGGCTTCTACTCCCAATAAAAATAATTCAAATAAAAAATAATTATATATTATGAAACTACTTATTTATGACATAATAACGTCATAATCACTTTTAATCATTAGATATGAAATCCAAAAGATGAAAATGTATCACAGTTTTTTATCAAAATTTGGACTTTATGCCTTGATACATATTCAGCTGCCCCGATTTCAAATCCACTAGTCAATCATGATTATGACCTCCTTGAATCAAAAGTAGATGGTCCCACTTTATATATTTTCATAAATAAAAAATAAATATCCACTTTGGATAATGCTGTGGGGAAGAAGGCCCCAACCCATTTTTTTTAGTAGATTAAGAGTTCATTGTTTGAAGGTTTTAATGAGGTGGTGGAAATGGAATATATATAGTTCACAACCCTTCAAATTACAAATGTTAACGATATAATAAATTGTGAATGGTGGATTTCTTAACTTTGTAGTTCATTTTATAAAATATATATATATATATATTTTGTGATATCTTTATTATTAAGTAAGGGTAAATTTTTAAATATTATTATATGACAAATGATACTTTTGTCATCATCATAAGGGGTAAAACTGAAATTTTTACTAAAGCACTCTACAAATAAAGTTTCTGGAGACTAACTTCCAAAATGTCATTATACTTTTGTGAAAATTTCAAATTTACCGTTACTTAATGGTCAAATTACTTATTAAAGATAATTTTTTAATAAAAAATAATAATTGTTTTGATAAATACACCGTTAACAACCATTTATAATATTAACCTTTGTATTTTGAGGGGTTGTATTTTTTTTTGTGAAATATGATTTTATTTTTATTTGGTACACCGACGTTTCAATAAACCATCGAGCAATGTGCCTACCATATCGGCTTCTTTAATATACGTTAGACCTGCAATTACCGTACTGTCAAACGGTTAGCTCCATATTGGGTGAACCCCAAGAGTCAAAAAGCAAACAAAGCCCATAAACTCATTGTCCGCCCCAGTGTTCGAAAAACCGGCCGATTGGAACCGGAACCGGCCGGTTAGCTCGCTACCGATGGGGTGACGATTCCGGTTAGGTTCGGTTTTAGTGTACCCGTAAAAAAACACATCGTCCTAAAAAAAATCGGCTAAATAACAGGCCGGTTTGGCCTCAAACCGACGACTTTTGACAAAACCGATCGGTTTTGTAAAAACCAGTATGGTTTGGCGTTATATCGGGCGATATAACAAAATAACGGCTCCACATAAAATAACGGTTGTTATTTGTAATATGTATTTGGGAAAAACCCGTGATCCGCAATTTTTTGCAACTTTTTTATGCTTTTTCCTGCCTTTTTTTTGTTTTTTTGGCTCAATTATTGTACTATACCTTCAAATCTTCTATAAATCCATCAATATTGAATAAAAAACTCCAAGATTAGATCGATTTTGACGAATTTTTGGTGTTCTTCAGTTTTTTATGAAAAATCCGCCATTCATTTGATTTTGGCTTGGTTTTTTAGTTTTTTTTTTAAAAAAATTGGGGATTTTAATGATCACATAGATACATATATTTTAAGACTCCTAATTTCATTGAAATGGAGAGATTCAGGGCTCGATTTTGAGATTGAAGCGGATAAGGTAAGTCCGAACCCAATTTTTTTTCTTAATTTTATAGCTTTTTTAGGATTTTTCAGACAATATTTGAGTAGTATTATTTATTACAATAAATAAAAAGAACAATTTTTTAACAACAACAAAAAAAATTTGGAGCTCGATTTTAGAAATTTAGGGTTGTTTTGTTTATAATCTTATATAATACATATATTTATAAAACTATGTTTTTCTGTGATGAATATGAGAATATATATATACACAATATTTTTGTGAGATAATTGAACGAATTTTAGAACAAAAACAAAAATTTGGAGGTCAATTTTGGGGATTTTCAGGATTTTCGAGATTTTAGGGTTTATTGAATGAAAAATAAAATTGATGTTTTTTTTTGTTGATTGTTTTTAATGTTATATAATATATATATTTACAAAAATATGTTTTTTGATATGAATATGAGAATATATATAAACAATATTTGTGTGAGATTATTGATTGCATCAAATAAATGAATGAATTTTAGAACAAAAACAAAAATTTGGAGGTCGATTTTGGGGATTTTAAGGTTTATTGAATAAAAAATGAAATTGATATTTTTTTGTGATGATTGTTTTTAATGTTATATAATATATATATTTATAAAATATGTTTTTGTGATGAATATGAGAATATATATATATATATATATAAAGAGAGAGAGAGAAAAAAAAAAATGGGACTAGCCCACTAGCTCATATGAACATATGAGCCCAACAGCTCAGATTCAATCTGGCCCGATATGATGATCGTGGATGTCCCATAGAGTTTAAATTTTAAGTTTTGTTTTACAAATCCAAATCACTTAAAATTTTAGGCGTGTATTTTTCTCATCAATGCACATCTAATAAAAATATAAAACAAATTATATGTGAAAAATAAAACGACCAAAATATCTCTTAAATATTTTTGAGGGTATTTTGGTCAATTTATTTTATGTAAAATATTTTTTTGATATTTTTAAAATATTCATATATTTTTTACGAATACATGTCTAAAATTTAAAGTAATTCTGATTTCTAAAAAAAAAACTAAAATTAAAATACCACTATACATCTGTGATCATCAAATCGATCCATAATCAATCTGGGACGTTGGGTTCATATGTTCATATGAGCTAGTGGGCTAATCCCATCTTTTCCCATAATTAAAATACCACTATACATCT